GCGGGGTGGGGCGCGCTGCGGGGGTGCAAGGGGGTGGGTGCTGAGGGAATTGGGGTGCCTGGGGAAGGGGGGTAGGTGGCAAGGGGTGCGCCCCGGGAACGGCCGATGTTGGGCCCTGATCCCTCGCACAGTCACGCCTGTCGCTTGTTTAACCGGGTGGATGGAGGCCCCAGCTGTTAGTGTGGACCTGGGGGGGTCGGAGCTGCGCACGCGGCGTTTAACAGCTTAATTGGCGTTAGGCAAAGTACAGAAAAATGCATATATTCGGGGAACCAACGTTTCAGACTGATATTGCTGAATTCTACGTGCTTACCTTAAAATCCAAGAAACCAAATGCAAAAAACGTTAGCGTCTTAAATTTTGGAATTAAACTGCTAATACTTGTTGCAACACTTACAGCAAAACGATCACAGTGTGATTGTGCTTAACGTATTTTATACTAACATGAAGTTTAAGTTTGATAAAGAGTGAAAGCATAGCCTTGTATTTCCTTGCTCGTGAAACACTTCTGTTGCAGGTTTATATTGCTGTGCATTTTTCTTCATAGTGCTAGCCTTTTGTGTCCTTTCTGTGTAGCTTTTTGGGGAGAAGGACTTTCCCTTTCCACCACGCTGTGAAACACCTTGTTCCAGGAAAAACCTAGATTTGGTAGAAGTTTGAGAATGGCAACGAACTCTTGCTCTTACCAAATACCTATTAAAAATCTCTTTTTCTTTTTGATAGGTGTCTGTAATTGCAGGAGAGCAAAGGCTGACTGAAAGTTTCTTAAAATAAATCACTAGCAATGCACAGACGATCTAAGAATATAAATGCTCCCCTGGAAGTTAAAGAAAATGAGAGTAGATATACTGAAGAGAAGGAAGGGGCCTCTTTCCCTCATCTGTCAAAAGACCAGAAGGTTTCCAAAGTGACTAAATCAAAAGTCATAAAGGCATCCAAGAAGGAGAATTTAAGTGATGGGAACCATGTGCAGTTGCAAAAATGCACCCTGAAATGCACCAAAGGCCTCAAGAAGGAATCATACCACAGCAAGAAGGATGTTGTTAGCTGTCAGTTTACTGAATGCTTCTTTGATGCGCTAAAAGGGGATGTGGTTGGTGAACCTACCTTGCCTTTGAACAATAAGGAAAATTTTTCAAGAAGTAGACCTGTTTCTTTGGGGGATGAATGCTACTTGACACCTAGTAGGGACAAAGCAGAAGAAAAATCTGATTGTGGAATATTGGAGAAACAGAGGAAAAAACCTGTTGATTTTGCAACTGTAACAATTGCTGAATTTGGGATTACTCAAGAAAGCTTTACTAAACGATCTATAGGTAAGGCTGGAGTGACTAATGACTGTTGTCCTTCTCAGAGGGACATCTGGAGGTAATCTAGTCCAACCTCTTATCAAAATCTTCAATTTAGGTCAGGTTCAAGCCATCTGGCTGAGTTTGAATATGTCCAAGGATAGGACTGTGATAGGAAGTTGCTTTAATTCCCTATTTAACTTTTTTCTCTCCAGTTGATTAGGTGTCAGTGAGTTTCACAAGGGAGTAGTAGGACAAATTCTGCAAGTATTGGTAGACAGTTCCTTAACTAGCAATTGAAAAAGTAAAAGAAGACAGGTCCTCACTTGGGATATAGTTTAGTTAAATATTAACTTGCTTTTAGGAAGTTAATTTGCTTTTGCTCAGGAAGGTTTCTTGAGCTGAGCAGCTAACTTCGGATGTTTTCATAAATAGCATAAATCACTCTTAAAACAAAAAGAAAAAAAATTACCATTTTAAAGCTGTAGGTATTCTTACAAAAAAAATTATTTTTTTCTCTCTCTCTTCCTGTCCCCGTTTCAGGGAAGTCTCCGACTTCATTAAAATTCAGACGAAGATCAACAGTTGGGGTACGGGGGTCACCAGAAAATAATGCCCTTATTCGATACCTTGCCCAACAGAGAAGCAACAGGCAAAAAGAAGCTTTTACACAGGTGAGAGTCAGTCTCAGTTTAGTTCCCCCAGGAATCAACATAGACTGGCAGAAAGAGAAGGCAATTCTCAGGAAGAAGCCAGTAGAAGGAGTAACCATGGCCTTAATTTCGTTGACTTCCCTTGGACACCTTACTCTAGAATAAGGGCATGTTACAGGTTTGTTTGTGTAGAGTCTGGAGTCTTTTCTCCATGTCTAGCTTGCTCATATATTTTAAGTTTTGTTTACCATAACCTTTACTTTCCTGCATTTGCCATGCTTGATTTTTGGCGAATTAAAGTGTTGATAGTTCAAAGTGAAGTAAATACTAGCATGGGTGACTTGTTTTTTAATCGGACTTGTTCTTAACTCAAACTGGCACAGACTGTCAGAAAACAAATTCTGGATATGGCCTAGAGGGACAGATTATGAAAGGCAGTAAGACTTAACAGATTTCTTGATACAGTTCCTTTTTTGCATGGCTTTACCGTACAACTAAAATTGTGGCCAGATTAAATACAAGATTTGCTTTTTCTCCGAGTTTGTTTTATGCCAAAGTACAAATACAAAGTAATAAAGCCCATGTCATCTTGCGGGGGGGAAAAAGTCTCATGAGGTTAATTTTATTTCAGCAGGTTAGTCCTTTTCAACATGAAAATGTCAGGTCGTTGAAGGACAAAATAGATGCCTTTCAAACATCTTTTAAATCAGTACAAGAAGCTGAAGGGGAGACTGGCTTCTCTGGACTGCCACAGGTGGATGATGCTTCCTGGGAAGCAGTCTGTTGTAAGTTGATTATATTTCTGGTCAATGATTTATCTTAAACATTAAGTCTTCCTTTAGGCCAAAAAGTACAAAAATACAAACATTTAATATAAAACAAAAAAAAATTTCCTTTATAAGGGTTGGCACAGGTTTTTTTGTGTTTGGTTTGAGGTTTTTTGTTTGTTTAAACCTATCTTATTTCTTAGTGCATCCTGAATAGTGGTTTCTCAGAATAACCCCCGAAGAAAAATGAAGACTAGTATTTTTTGTGACTGTCGCGAGCCAGGAACTTAATCCCAATTTCCTAGTTCCCAGTCCAATGCTCCTCTCCATCCATAAAGCCACATCGCCTCTGTTTTGCTTTAATTCATGTTTGGCAGTGGTATATGTCGGATTTACTTTTCACTAACCATTAGTGTTTTCACACTTTTTCCATGAAACTGATAATGGTTTTTATGACGGCTGGTTTCAGCCGAACAGTAACTGTTCTGTCCTTTGATCGTGATGTGCAAACTTTTGTTTAATAACTTTTAAGTGCAGTAATTTTAGAAATCATGTTACATTACTGTGGTGTTAACATCCTTATTTCTTAATGAAAATAGTAAGTATTGCAAAAGCAAGTCAGGGCAGTACTGTGTTAACTGTGAGAAGATGACAGTGTAAACCAAACTACAATGCTTTACTTCTCTGGTATTGGTGGTCTTAACGTTTATATGAAAAGAATAACTTGCTTTGTTTTGAAGTTTTAGTAATGTTATTTTCAAAGTAGAAGTAAAAAAAAAAAGCATGTGTTTTTCTTTTTCCTGACTAGAAAATTACCTAGCTTTTTGAATCTCACCGTACTTTTGGTGAAGAAACACAAAAAGAGCATTCATTGAAAAATCTCAAGTTTGTTTTTGTGGTTTGTTGTTTGGTATTTGGTTTGTGTTTTTTTAATTGATGCAGCTCAGAACAAAGTACCTTTTACAAAAGAGTGGAACGTGGATCAGTGGAGTGAAAAGTTCATGTCAGACAACAGTGGAGCTGATTTGAAAGAAAATTTAAGACAAAATTTGACCAACAGCAGCAAGTCTGATACCAAGATATGCACCATCTTGTCTTCACACCAAGATGTGACTATCACAGAACCTGCTGCTGCTGTTTCAAAGGTACTTCTATAAGTAGAAGAACATGGGCAAAGAACATGGAGAAAACAAATAGCACAGCAAATCTCCCTTGCAAGAATTTTATGTCTTATTATGACAAGTGAAGGGAAGCAAAATCTGGCATGGACACTGATCTATTTGGACTGATAGTGAACATAGCCTAACCTCAGATACCTGCTGCTGGCTATCCTGAGGCTGTGCTCAGTTTTCTTTTACGTGCTGTCGTGGTTTAACCCCAGCCGGCAGCTAAGCCCCACACAGCCGCTGGCTCACTCCCCCCACAGCAGGATGGGGGAGAGAATTGGAAGAGTCAAAGTGAGAAAACTCATGGGTTGAGATAAAAACAG